CAATACTTTTTCCCTGTGCCATTCCACATTATTACCAATAACTTCATTTCTGGACATTTATGTTTTGATTTCTTTGTTACCGACATCTGGTGAAAATTTCATGTCATTAGCACCTCTAGTAATATATTTACTGAGAAAAATGTTGACGTGTTCAATACTTATTTTACCTGCTGTACATGCAGGTATGAGCAGAACATATCGCCCCTTTGCCCTCAACATAGACTGAAATGTAAATGACTCACAGCGTATTGAACCAGAATGTTACACAAGTGGACAAAATTGTAGTCAAAAATCCCACAATGCCACTGAAATAACATGAAACTGACAAAAATAAAAAGATGAAAAATGACGTATAAAGTAAAATCTTAAATGCAAATCTCATCCTGTTTTCAACAGAATCATTTTAAAATCAAACAGGTCTGGACTCAAACAGAGCACCTGTAACTGATGACTGTGTTGCACAAACGTTTGAGGCAATCACTGCAATCCAATGCTTTGTGTATTTGTCAGAGACTTCTGCACCTGTCCACAGGTGTGCTGACACAGTCCTCATGAGCAAACTGCTCCAGTGGTCTGAGGTTTGAAGGGTGCCATCTCCAGATGTTTCAGCTGTTTACAGATGTCAAACAGRGTCTGGATCAGGGCTCAGAAAGACACACTTCAGAACAGTGCAGTGTTTGGTTCTGATCCATTCTTGGGTGTTTTTAGATGAGTTTTGGATCAACATCCTGTTGGAAGGTCCATGAAGCTTTCTGACACTAAGCAGCACAATTCTTCCTAAATTCATACCTCTCCAACCGCTCTTTCTCAGTACTTCAAAATCAAACTTATTCGGAACCACCCCAACTCACTTGCGGTGTACCACAGGGTTCAATCCAGGGGCCCCTCCTTTTCCTCCCCTACATCCACCCTCTAAGCCAGATCATTGACAATTTTAATGTCTCCTATCACTTCTACGCTGATGACCTGYAGTCAGTAGCGTGCACAGACATTTTCGGGGGCAGGTGCTCAAATCGAAAGAGGGCACCTTGTCCGGTGCACGAAATCAGTGGGTCCTAATAATGTGACATTACAGACACATCTTGTACATTGTGCATATTTATCTATTTTAAATAGGGTTGGGCAATATTGGCAAAAAAATTAATCACGATTAATTGTGGTATTTAGCCGATAACGATTAATTTGATGATTAATCCCTCAGAGTCCCTGCACACCCTTAAGAAAAATAAGTACATATTTTTATTAAATACATTTTAAAATTTATCAAAAAATGCTTTGGTTAAAAAATATTTAAAGTTTTTATTTTATTTTATCATGATAAAAAAATAAAACCATGAGCAGGTCAGATGATCTGTC